AGCTACACAACCATCAACAAAGACAACCATCTGGGGCTGCGCAACCATCAACAACCATCCGAAACTACACAACCATTAACAACCATCTGAAGCTACACAACAATCTGAAGCTACACAACCATCAACAAAGACAACCATCTGGGGCTGCGCAACCATTAACAACCATCTGAAGCTACACAACAATCTGAAGCTACACAACCATCAACAAAGACAACCATCTGGGGCTGCGCAACCATCAACAACCATCCGAAGCTACACAACCATCAACAACCATCTGAAGCTATACAACCATCAAGAACCTTCTGAAGCTACTGTTGGATATTTCTCATCTAGACTGGTCCTATGGTTTTGATCTGCTCAGAGACGGGATTATATTGAAATTATGACCCGGTTCTGACTGGGTTAAACTGGGCCAGCCGCTCTGAGAGAGTCTCCCTGGGATTTCAATATTAGTCAAGGAATAGAGTTTAATCTGCTTGCCACATCACGTAGAAAGATTTTTGAAGCACCGTCTCATATTTCTTAACACATCAGAACCACATAAGATCCATTGAGATCACACTTAGTCACGCCCCTCATTCACTGACAGGTGGATCTCCCCTTCAGCGAAGGAGGAGTCTAGGACCCTAATGAGTAATGACACGGGACATCAGGGCTCTTCCGGGTTTGTGAACGCGTCACAGACCAGAGAGTCCAGCGCTGTAAACTGTAACCTTTTCCTGCCTTGATTTTAATATAACTGATAAAACTGAATTGACGTTTCCTTGATTTATTAATGAGAGTTGCCACTTCTGAAGGAGATTCGAGCCGGGGGGGAAAGACGTGGGCTGGAGGAGGTTTCTGGGTCTGGTGGCCCGCAGCCAGCTCCTGTCTTTAACACTACGCAACCATCCAAAGCTACACAACCATCAACAACCATCCAAAGCTACACAACCATCAACAACCATCCAAAGCTACACAACCATCAACAACCATCCGGAGCTACATGACCATCAACAACCATTTGAAGCTACACAACCATCAACAACCATCCAAAGCTACACAACCATCAACAACCATCCAAAGCT